ATGATTGTCCACTAGGACTCCGAGATCCCTCTCACAGTTACTACTATTGAGCAAGGTACCCCCTATACCAGAGGTCCCCAACCTTTTGGCCACCAGGTTCTGTGAAGATTTTTCTGTGGACCAGAGGGGGCATGGTTTCATGTGCTGCCTGCATCCAGCAGATAAGGCTTCACTTGTTTGTGTGGCCCAGTTGCTGGTATGCGGCGGCCCAGTGCCGGTCCACAGACTGGGGGTTGGGGACGGCTGACCTATACTGTACCTGTGCATTTGGTTTGTCTTGCCTAAATGTAGAACCTTACTTTTTTCACCATTTAATTTCATTTTGTTAAATAGCGCCCAATGTTCAAGTCTGACAAGATCCTTCTGTATCTTAAGCCTATCTTCTGGAGTGTTGGCTATTCCTGCCAGCTTGGTGTCGTCTGCAAATTCGATGAGTTCCCCATCTATCCCCTTACCCAAATCATTGATGAAGATATTGAAGAGCACTGGGTAAAGAACAGAGCCCTGGGGCACCCCACTGCACATTTCCCTCCATGTAGATGCAATTCCATTGAGGACCACACACTGAGGACGGTTGGACAGCCATCTACAAATCCATCTGGTGGTGATGCTGTCTAACCCTCATTTTTCTATCTTATCAAATAGTAGGTTGTGGTCTACTTTATCAAATGTCTTACCAAAGTTCAAGTAAATAATATCCACAGCATTCCTCTGGTCCAGTAATTTTGTCACCTGGTCAAAGAATGCAATAAGATTTGTCTGGCATGATTTGTTTTTGACAAACCCATGTTGGCTTTTGGTAACGACTTTGTTTGCCTCTAGGTATTCGCTGATTCGTTGTTTGATTATCTTTTCCAGAATCTTCCCAGGTACTGAGGTCAGGCTCATATGTCTGTAATTTCCTGGATCCATTTTGTTTTCCTTTTTTGAAGATGGGAACTATATCAGATCTTCTCCAGTGCTCTGGTAGTTCCCCAGTGCTCCAGGATCTTTGAAAGATATAGTTCAGTGGTTCTGAGATCACATCTGCCAGTTCCTTCAGAACCTTGAGGTGTAATCCACCTGGTCCTGGTGATTTGAACTCATCTAGAGTGAACAGGTGCTCACTTACCATTTTCTTGCCTATCTTAACTTGTGTTTCTAATCTGTTTTTTACTGTACTTTCTTTGATAGGTTGGTCTGTTTTTTCCCTTTGTGTAAAGACGGGTGCAAAAAACAAATTGTTTTGCTTTCTCCCTGTTGCTTGTCACCTTCTTGCCACTTTCTCCCACTAATAGACCATAATTTCCTTAACCTTTTTCTTGCTTTTTACATGTTGAAAGAAGCTTTTTTGTTATTTTTGACTTTTGTCACAAGCCTTAGTTCATTTCGAGCCTTAGCTTTCCTCACTTCATCTTTGCACGCTCGGGCTATTAGCTGATATTGTGCCCTAGTTATGTGTTCCTCTTTCCATTTTTTATACTTGTCCTTTTTGTCTTTCATTTATCTAGTATTAGTTTACAGTGATTTTACTAAGTCTGCTACCAATATCAGATGTTTGGATATTGGAGATGTTAAGGATTGAATATAATTGTCTGGTTCATTGGAGATGTTAAAGATTGAATATAATTGTTTGGTTCACAAATAATACTAAATCATACATTACAGTTTGCAGGTTATAATGCTGGACAAAAACATTCTGTAGCACTAAAACCAAATCACTTTATGGTTTAATGTATATATGAGCTCAACCTCTTCAAAGAACCTATCCTGTTGCTGATATGTAATATCAGCACACCTAACAGAGAACCTTAAAAAAATAGAACAAAAACACAAAATCATAAGATATAATAGGAAACTTTGAGTAGTGCAGCAAGAAACTAAGGGATCATACATTTTTCTTTCCTGCTTTTGTGCTTCATTTATCTGTATTCTTTTCTATTTTGAAATAGAAAATATAACTATAGTCCGCTTGTTAAGATGAAATAACTATTGCTTGCCTCAAATCAGATTTAGAAGAAAGGAATCAAAGTGTGCAATTGGTGTTTGAGCCCCCCTATTTTAGCCTACCAACACCAGAAAGCCCTATCTGAAGGTAATCTTACAGAGCCAGTCAACTTCTCTCCCTTCAACAGTCCTTTCCATGGACTTGTCAACTAAGGAAATTGCATATTGCAGAGGATTTTGAAACTTGTTAAAATATGCTTGTACTTCAGTAGCAAGCTTTTGCATTTTGCTATCATCCCTTCACAAATTGTATGTTCCTTAACCATGGAACAATTTTAGTAGTGCACATTGCAGAAAAGATTATTAACCTAGACAAGAAATCACTTTCCTGAAAAAGTCAATTTCATAGGGGCAGACAAGCTAATGAGGTGTGTAGTTCTGAGATTCCCAGGCCCCACACTATACAAATGCATTAAATTAAAACCTTCATCCTTGAGCAGTTTTTCCAGAAAAGCCTTGTCAACATAGAGCTCTCCTAGGAGCTGCCGTTCCATCTTCTCATTCCTCACAGGGGCCTGTTGTTTACTTAGGTACTTTGCATCCTTTTTGATATGGAGTTTTTGCTTTGCTTTTTTACTCTGTTATAAGAAAAGAAAAAAATACAAGGACAATTATTTTTTACTTCTCCTTTCTCTGCAGCATTATTTCTTCAGAAAGAAACAAAAAGGAGCCCTGGAAGATAGCAATGCTGTCTCTCAAACTAATAGATCCAGGAGTATAGATTGAAATAAATTGAACAGTTCAGATTGAGATGGAAAAAGGGTTTCCACAACGTGAGAGGCTTGGGACAATATGATTAAAAACTCAAGAATTATGTCAATCCATGCTCTCATGTAGATGGTGATTCAGGGTATGAACTGTAAACACAAAAGGCCTTGTCTTACACATTCAATTACTTCACTATGCAACTTCCTCCAAAACATCCATTTAAGGGCGATAACGATACTCCCCTATTTTAGAAGGTTTTCTCTAGATCAGACATATCAAACACAAGGCCCGGGGGCTGGATGCGGCCCGAGAAGTGGTTTCATGTGGCCCATGAAGCCATCCTGGAAACAGTGAGGGAACGGCCCCTGCTGCCTTGGCTCTGGCCCAGGCCGGCCAGGAACCAATGTACAATTTTGTAGTGGCCATCTATGCTGAAACGCATTCAGTCTTAGCTCCACAAGGCTGTCTAGAAACAGCGAGGAACCAGCCCCTGCTGTGTCGCCCCCGCCCCCTGGGTGCATGCTGGGGAGGTGTCACCCTTTGTGAGGAATGAAGAAATAGACCATGCCTTGGTGCTTGCCCCGGTCTCACCCCCTTCTGCCAGAGATCCTCACTCCTGCCCAGGCCCTCACAGGCACCCTTGACGCGAACGATGTAGAGCTGGCCATGCCCACCCAGTAGGCCACACCCACTCCATCCACACCCACCCAGTAGGCCGCACAGTCTAGGCAAGGTGAGCGGCTTTTATTATTCTCATGACCTTCTGTTCTGACATTGTTGGGTTCTACATGGTGCATTCTCTATTTTTGCCCCATTAAAATATTGTATGAATAATGGAATATTATATATTTCAGATCAGGTATACGCAATACAGTACAATAGATTACTGTAGTCTATCTAGATAGTATACCCCCAGCTTCATCAGTAGTATCCAAACTTTGGAAATTGTTTTCCTTCAGGTGAGATCAAGTGGCTCAGGAAAAATAACTGATCAAATATCATCTTATGCAAAACAAGTAAAAGCAAATAGAAATTTTAATTATTTTTTTTAATATTCATAGTATAAACTATTTATAAATGGATAGGATGAAAGTAGTCTTCAGGGGAATGAAGATATTGCTACTGATCTCACATATAATGGTTCAAGAAAAAGGTCAATGAATTGCAAAACCCCACCATTCTTATTATCTAACCTGCCCCAATGTCATGAAACCCATTCCACTTTTTCTATTTATTCCTAGAATAGGCACAAGATAACCACTTTGGAAAAAGCTGGAGAGACCATACCTCTGCCTGGCGACTCAAAAAGCAGAGGTCCGCTCTATTCTCCAATCTCACGGATGATGGACCTACAGACAGAGAAGGTAGCAAGTGGTCAGGAAGGCCTAAAAAGCACCTACTGCAGGTAGTAGCCACAATATGTGCAAGAAAGAATATCAACCTTATTAAAACACACATACACACACGTTTCAACTCTCTGGTAATCTATATCCTTACTTTTTTTGAAAACATAGTTTAGAATATCACAAAACATTTCAAGTCTGGATGAACCACAGTTTTGTATAATGGCGTATTATCTTTATTTCCCCAGTGTATTTTCCTTAAAATACCATTGCCTTATCTAGATGTGTAGTATACAAACCAGTGTACAATACAATATTGAATTAGTCTACCCTCTATCATGGAAATACAGTGGGTGACTTTGGTCAATTATTGTCTCTCAATCACTTAAACAATATTTTTAGTTTAGAGAAAAATTGGAGGAGGGAACACTATATATGATCCCTTGTGTTCCTGAAAGAAAGGCAATCTATCAAACTGAAGATAGAACCAGAATCTGTTTTAGAAAGAATTTTGAAAATATCCCATTTGTTTCCTTTAGAAATATGGGAAATAATAATGAGATGGACTATAAAAAAAACTTGCAAAGGAAGTTCTTCTTGAAGGCTTCATTAATATTTTATTTGGTTTTGAAAAGAACAAAATGAATTCTTTGGTTCATTTATTTTTTGCAGAAGTCAAAATCATGTATTATAGACAGTCCTCACACAGCACAATATTTGACTGAGGTTTTTTCATACGTTTTCTATCACATTCAAGTCTGACAAATAAAACAAAATAACCTATATCAAATAAAACCATACTGCTTACTTCCAACTGAATTTTCAATTGCTTCTTTGGACTTCTGAATACCCAGTCTGAATTTCTGCAAATCAGGGCGAAGCTTGTGCCCTCGATGATAAAAGACCAAAGCAAATTCAAAATCACCCATGGTATACAAGGCTTCTGCTTTTTGATACAATCCCTGTAACAGAAAGGAAAACTATGGGACTGAGGAAAAAAAAAGTTGGAAGACATATATATTGTACGTGCAAGTGAACAGCAAATATACATACATTTGTCCCAACATCCAATAATTTGTCAGATATGACCAACTGGAATTAGAGTACAATTCAGGAACATTTTCCCTCTCCATTACCAGCTTTATACTGTTTTATTTAATTAGTTCTTTTTAAGAAACATTCTTCCAATTTATCCCTTTGCACGTCTAATTTGCATTTCTTTCAATATGATTTTCTAACCTAGTATTTTTTTTCCAGAATTTGGAAAAAGACATAACTTTCTTTTAGCAACAAACTAGATAACCCTTGACAAATTTTGAAACCTCTTGAGTTGGAACAGGTATCTCTGCTTACCTTAGTAAATTCTTTGTCAGCAGTCAGAGAGGCTTCTGCATCTTTTAGGGCATTTTCTGTATCTCCAAGTCTTAAGTAGCATTTTGAACGGGAAACAAGGCAGTTCCTGTCACCAGGTTGAAGCTGTAAGGCCTAACCCATAAAAATAATTGTTTTCAATCTCCCTTATATTATTACTGTTATAAGCTGAGCATTTCATACCCATTATTTCTCTGGTGAAAACGGAGATGTATTTTTCTTATGCATATATTTTATTATATGATTTATAAGCTGCACTCCATTGTTATTTATTGCTAAACTCTGGATGTCGTGATCATGTTCTCTGTAGTACCTACACTCTCTGTCTTAAGTATTTTATTCTTGATATGAATACCATGAAAAATACTTTCTCTTCAGCTTTTCTTCTTTTATCCTTTTCCTCCACTTGTGTTTACAGAAAGATCTAATAATAAAGGAAACATAATACTGCGGCAACATGCTTATTAACTGACAAGAAAGCTGACAAGATAGTAGGGAGCACAGAACCAAATGAAAAATGAACAAGAAATTTGCTTTGTCGCTATTAATTGTTACCAGTTTTGAAAACTTGCAGGACCCTGGGGGTTGAACAGTCTCTCCTACACTGGCTTCTCTATTCAGATAGCATATCTAAATAGCAAATATCTGGACAATCGGAGTGCAGTAAAGGCAGGCAGAAAATTCTAACTTTTTGCTGCCCCTCGTAATTACTGGAGCTTAGATGCAATTCACTGCCTCCTTCCAGCTACAATATCCCAGCATTCCCCAGTCACACAGAACTTGACCTATCACATCTGGGGACCTGATCTGGCTATCCAGGTGATCCAGATGCAAGTCCCCAGCCTGCCATGCAACCTGAGGCCCGTCTCTGTGCAGCTTTGCTATGGGGAGGAGATCAAACAAGGCTCTTGCAACTCCTCTTCATGGGATTCCCGCTCAAGTATTAACCTTTCCCAGCTCTCGGTTAAATCTGCCTGCCTGCTTAGGAGGCAGATTCATTTCTCCCCGTCCATCTAGCGACTTCTCCGAATATCCACATAGAGAATGCTCACGTAAGTGTAATAGGACAGAGCTTTGCTGAGCTCCCCGCGCCGGCTAAGCATAGTTCCTTCCGCCATGAGGCTGGGAAAAGTCCCACGCAAAACTTCCCCCTCGTTGTCCCCCATCTTGGAAGAAAGCAAAGCCGAGAAGGACGCGACGCAGGTTGCCTGGCAACCTGCAGCTTAGCAACTGCAATACTTCCGGAAATTCGACGGGAAGCCGAATGGATCAAAAGATTGCAAAACTTTGGAACAAGCTCTCCAGTAGCTTCGAAAACTATATAGTATTAGGATTGTCGTACAAAATTCCGAACGATCACTAGATGACATATAGATTTTTGCACTCCAGATATAGTAACCCTATTTCATATGGGTTTCTTTCTGCAGAACAATTAATCTAAACTAAACTGACTGTGCCCGGTTTTGTTTATTCTTTGGCTGTCACTGTTCCCTTTTCTCTATTAAAAACACATCTTTGAGCAGAGGCTTTATTTAAGGATCTCTTCATAATTTAGCAAAGGAAAAAAGTAAAGTCTTCAAGACAAGCTCATCTGGTAGGAATTATATGGACAGATCCTTTAAAATGCTCCTGCAGGTACTGCCATCTGGTAACACAACATCTGCAAGCAAACAAGTTCAGAGAGCACCAAGCACACCACAGTTTTTCTGTTTTCAGATGGAGAGATGTACAAAGTGGCCTCATCATAACAGGTTCAGTAGAAATTATTTTAAAGCATACTAGATAGATAATAGTTGCTTCCCATTTTAATAAGGTAAGTTCTAGTCAAATTTGTTTCATTTCTTAACAGATCAACAGATCCCTTAAGTAGAAAACAGAGACAATAGGCTAATGGAAATAGAAGAAATAGTGTTCTAGTTTCTCAGCAAAATATTTGGCAGGTGGTTGTAGAATCAATTGACTTCTGGCTCTTATCATGTTACATCAGCCTTCCAGGGGTACTGCTGATGAATTGCCATAATCTTCTTGGTTTCATGGTCAAATAGGAAGGGTAGTTAACACCGCAGAACAGTATTCAAAATGGGTGAAGTAGAATAGTAATAAGGCCAAACGTAACAGAATGAAATTGTGGAGACAGTCAAATTCTTATCCCTGTCTTTGAAAACCCCAGAATGAGGACGCACACTTTGGAAAGGGGAAAAAAAAGTAAGAGTTGCATGAAATCTCAAAACAGAACATGATTTTTAAAAAGTGAATGCAGTTTCTGGGTGCATAAATAAAGTCACGATTTTCTGGGAATGGGAAACAAACATTTGACAAAAAAATATTTGGCATTAAACAGGGCGTATTAGAGCATCTATCTTGGGTAATTGTATTACAGGAGGCTGCGCAAACCAGTTAGAATGGGTTCCATGATAGGCAACAAATATGGCAAGTAGAACTGGGAAAAGTCCTTTGCTAAAAGAGTAAAGGAATCAAATATTTTTAGAATAGGACAGCCCTCTTTAAATATCTCAGCCTCTTGCATTTAGTGTTTTAGGTATTTTTTTATTCTTTTTCTTAATTTTAACTCAATTTTATTATTCTACTTATTATTCTACTTATTATCTTGATTTTATGTCACAAATATTGTGATGAGTGCACTGTTTTACTTTTTAAAATGTAAACCTACTGCATTCAGAGAATGTGTTTCACTTATATCTTAAAATGTAAATAACAAATACAAATAATGTTTAGTATGTCAGCATTTCTTCACAATCAGAGAAATAAAATAAAATAATGAAAAACCCCTTCATTCCAATCTCCTACCACTACAAAAAGTAATGGCCTTTCCTTTGGAAGAATTCATCAAATAAATAAATCCTCATTGTCTGGGATTGCTCTAGTTCTGGATTCCTGTTTCAAGTAGGGGGATGGCCTGGATGGCAGAACATCTCACCTATTATAAAACTGGGCAACCATTAAAGTGATCAAAGGATCAAATGAGGAGGGTCTAAGTTTCTCCCATGAATCAGAGATTACCTGACTTGGAGGAAGGCTTTCATTATGATGTTGTCAGTTCACCTGAATGTTTTCTCTCTCAGATTAGGGAAATACCATTCTTGGTCAAAATTTCCATATGTGGATATTGCACATGGATGTTTATATATAGAGTATGTATATAAATTTAACTATTGAACAAAATATTATTGTGTTCTACTATTACATGAAATGTATTATTATTTTAGTAAAGGTAGTATATGTTACTATTAGTTTGTGAAATTAGGCATTTTATAAAATGCCTAGGAAATCTATAGAATTCCAAAAATGGGACATCAAAGTATGAAATGCTTAATATTTCACACATTTCTTAGGCATTCTATGCAATGCCAAAATGCAAACTGGCAAAATATAAATACAGCCACTAAAATGTTATTCTAGCCTTCCTTATTGCAACAAGTAGGTCAATATTGGTCTTTTTCTCTTGTTTTTTTCAGTAAGAAATGTCTTCTTTCAATTTGATATAAGTCTTTTCAATGAAGGGCTAGAGTTAGGATTAGGGTTAGGATTAACCCTAACCCCTAGGCCTAACTCTAACCCTTTTCATAATTCTCTTTACATACTTTGCCTAAATAGTTCTTGTCATTTTGCATTATACCTAGGGAAAGTATCTAGCTAGCGTATTAAAATAACACAGGCATTTTATACTTCGCCTAAAAACATTATGCATTCTGTAGAGTTCCCAGGGATACTATACAACAGTGGTGGCAAACCTATGGCACGGGTGCCAGAGGAGGCACTCAGAGCCCTCTCTGTGGGCACGCGTGCTGTCGCCCCAGTCCTAGGCCTTCAGCTGGGTTTTATAAAACCTTTTTGCTTTAGGCCTCTGCCACCATGTGCAAAAAAAAAAAAAAAGGTTCAATCAGTCAATTTCAACTTCTCACGGGGAAAAAAAGATCTTGCAAAGTTGAAATTGATTGATTGAACTTTTTAGTCCCACCCAGTCTGCCATTACCACTGCAGCCACGCCCACCCAATGGCCACACCCACCCGGCACTTGATGATGCATAAGTGGGTTTTGGGTTGCAGTTTGGGCACTCAGTCTCTAAAAGGTTCGCCATCACTGCTATACAATGTCAGCTCTTCACACATTGCTGGTAACATACACTACTTCAAGATGTCTTTCAAGGTTCAAAGTGGGTGGAACAAGAACAAATTAAATAATTAAGGTTCTCCCCGGTTTGTTTCTAGAGCTGCTTTTGCAATTCTGGTTAGAGAGAAGCATTGCAGCTTTGAGAGACAGAAAAATGGAGTGAGTAGGTGGTGATTTTATATTACTGTGTGGCAACCAAATCTCACCTGAGCAAGATAGTATATCTTCAAATATCAAGTTTGCCTACAGCTTAGTCATTAAAGTAAGCTTCTGGAAATTTTAGTTAAGGATATAACTATTCTAATGACATATATCAACTACCAATATTAATTGGTGTGTAGTTCAAATATGTGCATACATATTTTTAGAATTGGATGTTTAGGAAATATTTATTCTAGTCCCAAATTAAAAAATATACATTTCTTCTACTAGTATACCAAGTAACTTTCACATATCAGATGATGTTGTTAGTTGCGAAGTCGTGTCCGACCCATCGCGACCCCATGGACAATGTTCCTCCAGGTCTTCCTGTCCTCTACCATCTTCTGGAGTCCATTTAAGTTCACACCTACTTCTTCAGTGACTCCATCCAGTCACCTCATTCTCTGTCGTCCCTTCTTCTATTGCCGTCAATTTTTCCCAGCAATAGGTTCTTCTCCAATGAGCCCTTCCTTCTCATTAGGTGGCCAAAGTACTTGAGTTTCAACTTCAGGATCTGGCCTTCTAAAGAGCAGTCAGGGTTGATCTCTTCTAGGACTGACCGGTTTGAACGCCTTGCAGTCCAAGGGACTCGCAGGAGGACTCGCAGATGACATTACAGTACCTAATTGGGAAATGAAATGCCTGAAGCAAACTCTGAGAGCAACAAGAACAAGGAAAAAAAACTAAAGCAAATCATGATAATTTTCTTCTTACAAACTTCCAGAAGATATCCAGTTGACCACTTTGCACTACAGAACATTGAATTAAATGAACCTTGGTTTGAACTAGCAATGCTTGTAATATACAGTGCTGTTTATCAAGGCTGCATTCCTAACCAGGCAGTGAAGCCCTAGTCTGGTCTTCCATCTCAATAACCATACATAGGATTCTGTTGTATTATGATTAGTTAGTATAGCATGTGAGTAATTATATGGCAGCCCCGACCTCTGGAATAGGTGTCTACTCTCCTGGAGTTGTCTACTTTCCTTAAGACCTGCTTTTGTTCCCAGGTCTGGATTTACTGTGTTTGCAGAGGCTCTATCATATTTTTTATTGTTATGGTTGCGCTCTGGTCTGTGCTATGTTTTGTTGTCATGTTTTAAATCATTATAATTGTATATTTTGATGGTGGAAGCTGCCCAGAGCCTTGGAGTGGGCAACCATAATAAATACTAATAAGAATAAATATACTCAGAGCTAAGGCTGAAATTAAGAGAGAAGCAGGAGGTGTCCAAAAAGCTGAAAGTCCTAAATTTGCTTTTTAAATGTATTGTGTGTTCTTGACTTTGGCCTTGCCTCTCTTTCTTTTTAAAACTAGTGATTATGCTTATAAGATGGGTAGGAGTGATTTTTAAATCTGAAACAATTAACTAAATTAAATTTGATGAAATGTTTGTGCTATCTCTCTTTTGAAATACTCTTTTGACACTTCCTTGTTCCTCCCACTGGTTTTTCAAAGTGCCTAATTTAGATTTTTTTTATTTTTTTTAATTTATTGTTTATTTATAGTTTTTGTGATGAACATTCAAGTATCAACTTGTCTATGTCTGCCCTTGCAGACCTGATGTAAAAATCTGGACAGAGGGAATTGTAAAGGAAAAGGATAATGAGGAATCTCTTCTGCCAAATAACACCCCACCTTCCCTTTCTCCCCCAATCTTATCTAATCCTCATTTGGCCTCTTTTGGAAGTTCACTCTGACATATGTGACTGCACACACTTCCTCAATTTGCTGAAAGCAATAGCAGTAGCTTACACTAAGTCAGGGGTAGGCAACTTTGGCTCTTTTATGACTCGTGGACTTCAACTTCCAGAATTTCTGAGCCAGCCAAGCTGGCTCAGGAATT